TTGAACATGATTGAACTGAACCTGAACCTGAACTTGACCAAAGTTCGGTTTCAGTTCGGTTCATAGGAACACTAATTTATTATCACAAAAATCCAACTTGTTAATGAATTTGTTTTTTTTTATTTTTAGCAACAGTTTGATTAATTTTTAATATAATTCATATCAACGAAACATTATCTAATATACAAGATCTTATAGACAGTTATAGAAAGGTAGCGACAAAGAGAGCTTTCAGTATTTAATGTTCTATCAGCTTCTGCTTCGCTTCTGAGAAACAGTCTCCAGGCTTTAACACAAATAGACAAACAATTCATTCTTGCAGAAAAAGCTTGCTAGTACTCGGTACAGTAGAGAATCTTAATGTATTTTCTAATTCTTTAGTAGTTGGTCGGTTTTGGGTTTAGCATCTAAGTATTTATTTATCAAATCTAATAAAAGTATTCTGGGAACTTCACATCTAATTTAGGTCTATACTTTAGACAAATTTTAATTGCCAAATCCTTATTATGTAGAATATCATGATATGGAGGATAACTTCTAACATGATTATTCCAAAAGAATAGATATCTGATTTTTGAGTATATTCTTCTTTATATAACACTTCGGAAGCAATATAGAGAAGCACACCAAAAATCTTTTCAGAGCGACACTAGCTTGCATAAGTTAGAATTGGTGATATAAGAAGATATGCTTCTATTAACTATATTTCTAGAATAAAAATCTTTATATGGCTTTGTGGATTTCATTAAGCCCATAAGCTATAAACCATAATATATTTAGTTTAGACCTCGTTATATTTGCTATTCTAATAATTTTCAGAGACTTTCTCGTTTTGCATACTCCATAACCATCATATAATTATGATTATTCGGGTTCTTGGTTATGCTATAAATGCCAATTACTGAATCTATTCAATGTTTATGTTAGTAAAATAATAATTAAGATAATGGTATAATGATAATAAACTTTATAATACATACTTCTTTTAAGAATTCTTGTTTTTTATCTTTAAAATTTTTAAGCAAACATCTGTTTGTGACTTTCTTATCCATTTATTCTTCTCTCTTAATATATTTGTCAGTCCAGACCGCCTTAAAAACAGTGCCAAAGTCTTTTTTAGAAAAATACTTAATATTTGTAAGTTTATTAAAAAGTATTTACTCGATAATGTTTTCAAATTTCTCGGTATTAAGTTGTGTTTGTTTAATAAATTCATCAATATATTTATTGTCACGTCCAATTATGAAATTCCTTTTTAAATCTTAATAAAATATAATCTACACACTATTTCAAAGCATCAATATTGACTATTACTTTATTTCATATATAATAAGTGAAAATAAAACTATTCTCAGATTTAATATGATTTTAGCTCTAAACAACTACATTAGTATTAACGAAGATTCAAGAAGTAAGATATAACAAACTAATTTTTTACTCTATAGGATGTACTTTTTTTAAAGTAATTTGGTACTTCAAACCATTGAAAAAATAGTTCCTGGTTTTTATGTTCTAATAATTCAAGAATACATGATTGTCTATAGTTTTTATAACTGCTATCTTTAAGTGTAGATTGAAAATAGCGACAAACTTGAAGATGGTTTTTTTTCTCAATAGCTGAACAATTAAAAGTGGCTATTCCAAATTCTTGATGAATGTTGATCAACTTATAAATATGAGATACTAACACATGTATATAAAGTGTAGCATTAGCTACCTTTTTGTTTATATAAACAAAAATTTTAAATTAATAATATAATATTTATAAAATTTTAAGCCGAAAAAAATAAATATACATTTACCCAATACATTCCATGAGTAAAATTAGGTCGATTTAGTTGTCCTTTAGATAGTTCTAAAAATAGCTTTAACCATGATTCTGCCTTAACTTTAAACTCTGATCTCATTATATTCAGTAATATCATCATTTTGTATAATTCAAAAAAACCAGTCCAGAGCTTTTGAAGTTTAATAGCATGTTCTTGAGAAAATTCTTTTGATATAAAATTAGTAAAATCAAAATTTTCCAAGATATTAAGTTTGTTGGGTCCTATCAATGATGTATAAGATGAATTTTGTGTTGTATTTTCAATCCAAAAATAAAAATGATTAATTTGTAACCTTTTCATTTCAGTTAAAATTAAATTTTGCATATTTTTATTTAATTGACCACGTTGAAGATCTGATAAAAATAATTCCCAGAGCCGATCACTTATTCTTAACATAGCATGTAAACTATCACATACCCAATGCTTAATCGGAATCATATCAAAAAGAGGAGGTCGAATATGTCCATTAAGTTCTGAGTAGGATTCTTTAATACTTTGTATATTTTTAGAAATTGTATTATATTCAACAATGTTGGTTAAATTTTCTTTATTATAATAACACCATGGGCAAAAGTACTTGGAGTTTGCTGCATTCATTCCTAAACATATAGCTAGGAACTTCCAATCTGAGCTAAAATATATTTCAATATTCTAATGTCTTTCTTCAACCTCATGAAATCCATGTTCATTTAAAAATCGTAAGTCTAATATCAAAGGTGCTAGTGCATTTTGAAGTGAATGATAATTTTCCATACCAGTAAATAAAACTAATGTATAGTGTGATTCTGGTTTATGCAGTTTGTCTAAATTATTCAAAATTGCAACAGTTACCATAACATGTTTAACTTTTTTGCCAACATTTTGACCATCTTCAGATATGCGTAAATGTAAAGTAGATCCAGGTTTTAAAATCTCTTTTTGAACATATAATGGAACTATATAATTAAGTATATCTGTAATTCGTTGCTATTCACCTTTACCAATAGAAGCAATAATATTAGTAACTATACTTGGATCTGTAATATTAGACTCCTCAGTAATTGGTTCGAAACTGGTTGGCTGATCAATATCAACCAAACTAATAGGAATTTTTTCATTTACTCTATTTGTTATCTCTTGTCTCATATCATAAACTGCTCCAGCTCTAATTAGTGATTTATCAAGTTAAGCCAAAGACCTATATGCATCTTGAGAAATTTAATTTTGATCAATTGACTTTACAATAGCTTGTGTTTGTATTTCTATTTTTTGCTTATTGATTTTTCCATAATTGATATTATATGCATTATTATTAATTTCAAATTTTGCTTGTTTAAAAACTATGTTGTCATTCGGATAAAAAAAATTCTCTTTTTCTTCTTCTACAAATTTTAGTAACCACTTCTCTAAATCTAATATGTGTCTACATTGTGCAAAGGTACTATAAATATTAAATAATTTAATTTGTGCTGAACTATTTGATAGCACTTTTTTATGAACTGCTTCTACACTTTTACAGTATAGGCCAAAAAGAAGAGGTCCGGAAAGCTTGCTTTTGGATTCTACTTGTTCATTAGTTCAAATATTTTTAACCAAAGCCTAATAAAAATTATACAGTATTAAACTTGTATATGTATAATATTAACCTTTAAAATATTTGTTATTTTACCTCACAATATAATTGTGCAGCATGTGAAGTTGACTGTTCCGACTCTACAAGCTTGTCTAAATACTCTTCAAAGTATATTTGGTATAATGGTTTATTATTAATATAAGCTATTAAGCATTCAACAGTATATTTTTTTTTTGAATATGTAGTTTGAACAACATAATTGTGAGGTATAGGGTACTTTCCAGGGTGCTGAGTATATTTAAGTTTATGATTTGGTGGATATACACCTTCTTTAATTATATGAAATTTAAATGTTTGATGTTCATCTTTTAGAATAATATCAGGGCTTTCCGGATAGTTGCTTTCTTCTTTCCATACCATTTTGGTAAATAAAGTTTTAAATTGAATGCTAAACGCAGTTTATAACCTGTTAGTATTTAATTTCAACTAGTTGCTCAACCAGTTGTATTATTTATAGTCATCTTTGCTAGATAATCAATGCAGAATTTCATTTTTGTATGATGATGATTTTTGTACATACATATTTTCTAATGGAATAATTTTTGATTAAAATAGTTATATTTAAAAATCGCACAAAGCATATTTTATCCATTTACTTTATCAAATATGTTATTTTTATTAAGGTTTTATTATTTAATTTAAAAGTTTAAATAGAATTCTGCTTATGTGTATTGTTTTTTACAATTATTCTTAAAATTTAATGGCAGCGCAAATATTCAATCAATTTTGAAGTTAAACCCATTTTCATATTTGGTAATGAGAAAAATATATATATATTTTTAGCATTTTATTAAATTATCAATATCTATTAATTCTTATAGTTATATAATAAATACTACTGGGATGAGGTAATGGGCCATTAAGTAAGTTTAATTCTCTATTTTACTATAATTGCATTAAGATTAAACTTGCACTAATGCTGAAGATGAGGTTTGAGTTATATGATTCATAATCTAGAATCTTAATTTTATATTAATAATTTATGTTATCTCACAAGAGCGGATGTGGAGACTTGCAGGTCAGGTTTTATTTATAGTCAACCTCTCTAAATGCACACTGCCAAGGCCAAGCTTCACTTAGAGAATAGAAAAAGTATATTTATAGATATCATGTATATATATTTGGGCTGGAACTAGAGTGCGTATTTAGAAAGATTGTACGCTTAGAGAGATCTCACTGTAGTATATATGTTTATTTGAATTGTTTTGCATACTTATATTTATTTTGTAAATAGTGAAACTGGAAAGAAATTCAGATCAATGGATCTTTTTTTATTTGGAATCTTCATCTGAACCTGAAAATAATATCAAACCAAAATAATGATGCCTGCCTTCAACAAGATTATTTTACAACACCTGATTGTTACATAATTAGTATTGAATTTCTGAAAATATTAATTTTAATTTCTTATCTTATAAATGCAGGCTGATTTTTATTACTGGAAACTTATTATTATGAGTTATTTTTATAAACCATTTCAAGCCAGCTCCTGTTATTGAGATATGTTTGGAGTTAAAGAGGATGAAAATAAAATATGTCAAGATGGGCTACATTCACATAATAAATCACTATTATACAAATAGACTCAGAATTTATTTACTTTTTATTTCGTATTAGGTTTTTTTATTAAAAATTTATTTAACTTTTTATTTATATTAATGCACATACTAAAAAGTGAATATATAGACTTCCACTATAATATATATATAACAAGTGTATTTAAACATGAAGTTTTATAACTTAATAAATGAACCCAAGCAATTTATATACTATTTGATGGTTTTCATTAAAATAAACTAAATGATATAAATGACTAATTAATTCATAATCTTTTCATTTTAGTTAAAATTAAAATTTGCAATTTTCATTTAATTGAAGATCTGATAAAAATAATTCCAAGAGTCGGTCACTTATTCTTAACATAGTGTGTAAACTATCACATACCCAATGTTTAATCATATTAAAAAGAGGAGGCCTAAGGTGTCCACTAAGTGCTAAGTAAGATTCTTTAATTTTGTACAAATTTTTAAATTATCTTCAATAACACTACGAGAAAAAGTACTTGGAGTTTGCTGCGTTCATCCCTGATATTGAGGTTCGACGTATGCCAACATTCCATGAGCATTTGAGTTCGAAGTAATTTCATTAATTTGATAGTCCGAAATCTGTAATCTTTGGTTGTGATGAATTAAGATGTTTCCCAGATGCTAAATTATTAAATATAAAATGATCGAATTATACATTTATAAATTAATAAATACTATATGTAAAATATACATAATATATTTACCAGATCTCTATGAATAATGTAAGAATAAAAGCTATTTCCTTAGCAATGCATAGTTTATCTGCCTATTGTAAGTTCGTAAAACTTGCATTAGGTATTTTTGTAAAGTTCCTTGATTAGCATATTGTAAAACTATATCATAATATTCATTGCTATCTATATATTCGATTTGATATGATAAATATATTTTTTTGTTTAACATATTATTTAGTTGATATCTTCAAAAATTATAAATTACTTGTTTACTTTTCGTTCTCCAAAGAAAGTAATAATGTTTTGACAGCACGAAACTCTTCGCAATAGCTTAAGCTAATTATATAAATTTATTATTCTATTGTAAAATGCCATTAAAGTTTTAACACAACAAATAATACCTCATTAATAAATATTTAAGAATTCTTTTATCAATGTTTGTATCAACTTTAAGACAACTATTAATTCACTGTCTCTCCACTTGTATTTAAAAACCTTTTCGAAACCTCTGATGCTGATTACAATAGGTCAGTAAATTTATTATAATTGATATAATTAATATGCCTTTTGGAAATAGTTTTTTTAAATCATTCTTCTAATATGTTTATTATACCTTTTTTTTATATGCACTAATCTTGGTCAAAAAACAATATGAAAATAACGATTCATTTCCTGTCTTAAAGGAGATGATATTAATAGCAAGATAAGAATTTAGTTATCATGCATGAACATATTATTTATATAGTCTACTGAATCACCTATCTATAGTTGGATCAGTAATATCAGACTTTTCAGTAATTGGCGGCTGGTTAAAATCAACTAAACCAATAGGAATTTTTTTTTATTTACTCTCTGTGTCTTATACTATAAACTGCTTCAGCTCTAATTAGTGATTCATCAAGTCTAACTAAAGACCTATACACTTTGCGCAATTACCAATTATCTATCAAAAGTTAGCGAAAATTGAATACACACTTTGTATTTATAATAGACTACCGTAAATCAACTGGTTTTCTTAAATTTCACCAATCCTATAATAGACCCGGTCTAATATATAGCCGTATCTGAGTATGTAATTTACATTAAATTTTATTGGTATAAATAGTGCATCAACTAGCCGACTCACTCTGCATATCATGTAACTATCATTTTGGGGTGCGTTAAAACAAACAAAAAAAAAAATCAAATCGGTGGATATGTGAAGATGCCCAGTTTTCGCATGGCTGGATCATATGTTTCAAAAATCGACACAACCTGGTAGAACAGGCCTACATACAAATTGCGCAGAAGTTTCCAGAGGAAACACCCTTAATTTTTAAGAATTTTTTTAAAATTGTACGTGAAAAGACTCAAAATATAGAAAAAAATACATAATTTCCTTTGACAAAACACCTATGTGGTTTGACATGCCAAGAAATTTGACACTTGAGTTTGAAGGTGTTCGCGAAGTGCTAATTAAAACTACAGGAAGTAACAAAGTACGATTTACTGTGGTTCTAGAATATACAGCTTCTGGTGACAAACTTCTACCAACTGTAATTTTCAAACTCAAAAAAAAACTAAAGGGAAGGTTTTCGTGAAATATTGTGGTAGCAGCGGCATCCCATACAAATATGAAAGGAGATTTAATAGTTTTTATCTATATTCCACAGGTTATTAGAGCGAGACCAAATGGCTTTTTTAAAAATAAAGGTGCAATTTTTGTCGACAATCATCGTAGCTATACCCATGATGATGTAGTTAAAGCATTGAATTCTGAGGGTTTGGATGTTTTAGAGATACTCGGTGGGATGACTAGTGTTTTGCAGCCACCTGATGTCTCAGTAAATAAGCCTTTCAAAAGTGGTGTGCGAAAAAGATGGGAAAAATGGATGGAAAAAGGAAAAAAGGACTTTACTAAAAAAAGCAATTGCATATAAGCTTGTTTGTGAATGGATTTCTAAAACATGGAAAGTATATAATTTTATTATAAAAATTGATGAATTTGAGTGCTGCAAAGGAAAAATAAAATTTTGAGCTTTCAATTATACTGTATAATTGAAAGCCTGAAGTGCTATTTTCTCTTGGCAGCACTCATTTAATATACTGGTAATTTTTTCATATAACATGTAAAGTATTTAAATAACAAAAAATTATTGTGTATTTAAAATTACAATTATATAAAATTCTAATTTACAAATTAACTTACTTAAAGGAAATCAGTAAAGAAGTTTTGATCAAATCTTTTGAATCGACTAGACTCACTCTAAACCCTGATGGTAGTGAAAACAATAAAATATCATATCGTTTACAAGCAATTGTTAGAGACCGGATGAATGAGATTGATGAGTTATCAAGTGAAGAAAGGGATAAAAATATGATGAATATAGATGTGTACGATGATACAGATGATGATATGATAAATGTGGATGAGAATAAAGATATAGAAAATAAATACATAACAGATAATAAGTATAATGATAAGCATGGCAAAGCATTATATGAATTTATTCTATTAAATATTACTTCGCTATTTGTTAAAAATGATCTACATATTATGTTGTACCGGTAACTAGAATAACTAGAATATTATCACTAGGTGGTAAGTGTATAGTTTATTTTAAACCAATTATCTACTTCTCTGCTTGTTAAACTGATAAGAGTTTTTGAAATAGAAAATGAATTTTTTTGTGAAACAAAAAATATATATATAAACAAGACAATACTAATTTGCTAAAAGCCTGTAAAAAAATTCTTTTCTGCTTATCTGGTATTTTCAAACTTTTGCCCCAAAGTTTATTCTTGTCTTTTCGAGAAAAATTTCTATTAAAAATGTAAAAAAAAAAATGTTAAGTTTATATCCTCTATCTAGACAAATATTTTGTTTTCTAATAAATACAAAACTTTTGCTTAATACTTTGTTTTAGGCAACTTAATATAAAATGTTTAAATTACCTAATTACCTTAAATTCAATACAGCATGGTAAAATCTTAAATGCATTCTCTATGTATAAGTGCCTTTTACAAATGTATACTCATTAAAACCTGAAAATATACGTGACCTCTATAAATGCACTTTCTTTTATCATTCTCAAAATGTATGTTAGAGTTTTGGTCTCTATAGGTGGGTGCATTTAGAGATCTAACGTAAATGTGTAAATGCTTTTAATAAAAGACTGGGTTTAATATATTTTTGTAGTCAATTCAATAATTTACTATTTGCATAATGTGACACAATATAAATGTATAATGGGGGCATGTTATTTCGAAACGTGCATGGACGTTATTTCGAGACCAGATATGAAATTTTTAGAGGCCATGATTTTTGAATTAACACCCATGCCCACTATTTCAAGATTTTATAGTATGCTTAAAATAAGAGCTTATTCTTTGCTTTGTATGCATAATAGTAAACTGGTTAAGACATATAAAATAAAATTGGTTCTAAAACTTAATTTAGCTAATATGTACTAATATCCAGCTAAATTTTGATACATTAATAGTCTGTAAAAATCAGACATTAAGAGGTTTCTTGATAGAGGTTTTCAAAGTGAGTCTGTGTTATATATAAGATGGTACAGACAGTTGTATCTAGGTGCTATATGTGGTAGCCAGATGAGGTTATAGCAGGTATTTAGTTAAATAGTTAAATATATATAAATAATATATATATATTAAAAAAAAAAAATCAGTTCAATATAAAAAATTCAAATTTTATTTAATAAATGTAATTATTTTAAGGGTTTAAGTTTTTACATATCTGCAAAGCCATGTATCTCATGATTAACCAATCAAAACTGATTTTGTAGTATTTATATTTTTTAAATTTTTCTAATTTATTTTTTAATTTGTTATATTTATATCATACAGAATTTAAATATCATTATATAATAATTATAAATTTTATTAAAAAATAAAAATAAAAATATATAAATATTATAGACATCTATATACAACAAAACCCCATCCATCAACTTACTTTATTTAAAATAACCCAACCACCAACTTACTCAATTTGAAACAAAAAGTCAAACTACCTACAATAAAAGAACAACAACTCCAAAAAGCAATACTTCCAAAGAATGACAACTTTAAAAATGATAACTTCAAAGACATCATTAAATAATTAGTAAATAAGACAGAAAAAAAAAATAAAAGAAAAACTTAAAGAAAAAAAATGCTTTTTAAAAAACTATATTGCAAAAACATACTATATAAATACTAGAAAAAACCTATTACTTTTAAATACAAAGCCAAAAAACACAAGCTATTTAAAAAAAATAGTACAAAAAACTCCAGAAAATTGAAAAATATACAAGACTATCTCCAAAAAAACAGAAAAAACATGCAAGCTACCTCTAAAAAAAACAAACAAAACTTGTAAGATTGCCTTCTACAAGAATATAAAAAAATATACAAAAAAAAAGAACCAAAAAAAAAAACAAAACCAAAAAACCCACTACAAAGCTAGTACCAGTTTTTACACAAAAATACTGAAGAAATATATATAGCTATTTATAAAAACACTATAAATATATAAAGCTATATAAAAGAAACAACTCTGAAAAACTAGAAAAAACCTTGCAAGACCACTACATGAAAATATAAAAGGCATATAAAACCACTTCACAAAAATACAAAAAAAATATAAGAACATCAAAATCTAATAGTAACTCAACAATAGTAATACAACAATATTAGCAGTGAATCTACAATAATATTGGTCATCTCATTTATTCTGGCAGTTAGTTGAATAAATTAAAGTTTCTATATAGTAAAGTACTAATATTTTCTATTAACTAGCAATTAAAATATATATATATATTATTTAAATATCTAGATATTATATTTATAAAAAAAAATTATATTGAGGTGATTCTGGAAGGCTGTAATCTGTGGGCTTTGCATAACACGGGTCACAGGACTGGAAATCGAAGCCTGTTTGGGAAGTCCCGAGTTGGGAGGTAGCAGTGATCTTCGACAGTACTACATGAAGGCTGAATTTGAACCGGGGCCCGAGATTGGTGAACCGAGCGACCAGGTCCTTTAGTGGGGGA